TTATTTATTTAAATCTTACATATATAAGTACGGGAAGTGATTAGAAGCATAAAAAAAAAAGCAAACCATAGGTCATAGATATGCCATACTCATTATGTGATATAATATTTAAATCGAATTTGCTTTGATATACCAGTGAGTTCTCAATACTTCACTATTTACAACATGAAAGCTATCTAAAACAATATGAAGTGTAAAGAATATTGCTCAACAACAAATTTATCTATCTACATCAAAACCAATACTTTGATATTTGTTTTAAAACTTGAAATACTATATAGTCCTGTATTTAAAATTCGTAAAATGTAATTATTCAAAAAATATTTTGTATGGATTCGTAGATTCTCAAGTTTTTTCTTGAATCCATAGGTTTTAACAAATTTTGCATTGGGTTGGACAGTTCTGTTGTAGTCATTGTAGATATAACATATGATGTGTTTATTCCTCATAATTGAATGGAATAATCTTTGTCAAAAAAAATCAATCGAACGAGTTAATGTTAATCGACATGAAAATTGATGAAACTTTCAGTGAAACAATAACAGAATTATAGATTTAGGTTATTACATCATATTGTTCGATCATTAGATTTAATATGATGAATCCTGCAAATCTATTTAAATAAAGAAAACAATCTCGTATTGCCTATTAAAAGATTGCGTTTTAATGCAACAAGAAAAATTTACATCAATGCCTAAAGTCATTTTACTATACTGTTTTATTTTTGAAAACAAGGACTAAATATTATTTTTCAGAAAATGAATAAATATCTAGCAGTAAACAAAAATCTTCTTTGTCTTTCATTAAATCTAGTTTATCATCCTACCTACTAGAGCTCTAGAATTTTCAGTTCACATATGTTGTTAAAAATGTAGGTCAAAGACAAATGCTCACCTCATTTGCTCAAGAAAAAAACAGAATTATAATTTATGACATCTGTTTTGTTTTCAGTTTGAACTTTTTCATATCTTCAGCGACTGTCAACTAAATGTTGCATAGCATTTCATCAAATACATGATTAACTCTTGATATAATCACGTGAAACTCAAGGAAAATTTAAAGTCTTTCTTTATGCGAAAGATGAGTTCATTTAAATTAAATATGGATGCTTCTATATCTTTAGCATTGATAAACTCATCATCGATATAGCATGTCTTTTTAATTGAAGTTTTGTTTTTGAAATTTATGAGCAATAATATTCAACTACAAGCAAAGCTTCTCTGGAAATTTACATTTCATACATTGAACTATAAGTAAATGATTGTTTTCAAACGGCCGTAAACAGTTTTTCTTTGCAATAATAGTTTAAAAAAAATAAACAGCACTATGGATAACGTTAATAAACTTTAATCAAACCTGTATCATAGACAGTTGAAACACAACACTGGATAATGAGAAATCGGAGTATTCGAAAAACTTTTCCATTGCAGAGTTATGAAGCTTAAAAGAAATATAAATGCCATTCGTTACCATTTCTCATAATTCTAATTTTTAATTGAGTCATTAGGACAAGAGGTATATTTTCAACCTACACTCTTAGTAAAGTATGTGCACATAAATTTCGGGATTTTGAGCACGTATCAAAGTTATGATATGGTAAGAAGATACTCTTATTCGCTACTGGCAACATAAACTTATTTAATATTTAAACTAATGAGTATAATTATATTCATTTGTTGAAATGATGTATTATAAAAATCTAAACATGTAATAATCTATTGCTATTAAATGATTATCTAAATATAGTTTTACATAAAAAGTATTATTTTGCATGATTATCATTTTAATCTTGTAGATAATAGTTATTATAATTTATATTATGACGACGAAAAATCAATAATAATAATAATAATAATCAAAAGAAAATAGGAAATCTTATTAATCTGTTCTTATTTAGAAGATATTTGATTTGGTATTGTCGTCATGTAGAGTAGTTTTAGTTGCTGAAAATTCATGTTATAAATAATTAAGGTTTCAACTATAAAATTTAAATTTTGATTCAACTAAAACCAATATTTTTGCTCTTGATTATATGTAAACTCATTTAAAATTTCTGATAGATCATTACTAATCATTTCTTTGCTTTTGACCTTTTACATATGAACAATATCATCGTTTTCAAAAATATATATATGCAACTTGAATTTGTTTCTTTGTCTATCAATGGATCTAACATGTCCTCATACTTTAATAACTGTTCAATCAATATAATAATGTTTATAATTCATTCTCGACTTCTATTCATTAATCAATAATTGTTTTCTTGAAATAATTTTTATGTTTAATACTTTCGCATCGTTAACCATATAGAATATTTAATATTATCAAAAAAAAAAATAATAACTATGAATCTCTTGATAAATAAATTTTTATTTTATATTCATCATCAGTTGATTATTAGCCTGTTGAAAAATGACGTCATTCATTTGAAGATATGAATACAAACAGATGATTGAATAGAATATACTTTATTGAACAAGACATCGCTGTTCTTATTTCATGAACCAATAGTATTGTTCTTCTTCTGACTTGAAAATCTTTAATGTGATCAATATGAACACATATGATTAAAGAACTTTGAGAAATGCACTCAACACGGAAAGTAACACCATAAAAAAAAGCATTTGTCATCTCTTGTGATTAGAGAAATTTTCTTGTCAAATGCAAATGAAGTATCGTCGATGTTCACCATATGGAAATCAAGATTTATTCATGTACTTAGTAGACATTTAATTAATCTGACAAGTTTCGACTTGGTACATTTTTAATTCTAAGGCATGAAGAATATTTCTTACGTCTTACAGAAAATTTTTGAATCATGTTTTTTTTGCCATAGTTAGTGGTAAAATGATCGAACAAATCTAATATTCAAACATCCTTCAATACTTATAAAAATCGATAGAATTCTCATATGTATTGAAATCGTTTTTCATATTAAATAGCTCTGACTTATCTGTCTAATTAAACAAAACAATAGAATGTGTTGTGAAAGTTCCTGAAATATTTTTTTTTTGTTAAATGTTATTAATACCAAAATAAAAAATCTAAACTTCTAAAATTTAATTTGAACTATTTCAATATCAAACGAACGATATTTATCAAAATTGTAGATAAAATTTTCTACGTCTATTAAATTGAAATTTTAGTTCAGTGTCTTCTCCGATAAACACAGTAACATGATGTGTTCAAATCTACTCAGCAGAACATACTTAATTCAGACAACGATGAAGAAAAAATTTGTTAGTCTCGTTCGTATGAATTTGCTTTGATTTAAAACCAAATCGAAAAATTTACTGAGTTGTCTGACAAGGATTTTGTTTTTCTTTTTGAACAAAAAGCTTTATTCTATTTTTTTTTTGTGCTTCTCATTTGAAGAAATTCAACAAGTTATCTGAGCCACAGAAATAATTCGGCAGATAATAATGTTTAAATCATCGAAGCACGAATATTTATGCAATATAAAAGAAAGTTAATGAAAAAGAAAAGTCTAAAACAATCGATCTCTTCCTGTATTTTATTTTTGAATTTCTTCTTCTAAGTTGTACTACCGAAAGGCTTACAACAAAACAATATATTTTTTATTTATTTAGTAGTTGTAGCTGGTGCAGTAGTTGTTGTTGTTGTGCCAGCTGCTTGTCGTTGAGCTTTACGTGATTTAGCTAATGTTCCTTCACGAAAACCATTTCGAAATCGACGAAAGACTTTCTTCAAATGTTTCATTCGACCAGTGCCGGTTGTTTTACGACGACGAGATTTTTCACTCCATTGGTATTTACGAGTTTTAGCCGATGGAAAACCACAAGCAGCACAACGTTGTCGTTGTAAATGGTATGATGAACGGCCACATCGACGACATAATGTATGGGTCTTGCAATTGCGTTTGCCGAATGATTGAGTACCCTTCGTCATTTTTTCGACGAAGAAATTTTAATTTCTAAAATTGAAAAAAAAAATTAAAAATTAAAAAGACATCGATGAAATAAGAAAGCAAAGAAATCAGCAATTCACATGTTTATGAATTATATTGTTATAAAAACAACGATTCAAAGATCCATTTTCATCCATGTTTATTCACAATACATGGAATATGTAATGATTGGATGTAATAATGACTCGATTAACTAGATTTTTATTGAGATGAATTCATGTTAAAATTTAAAAAACTATGGTTTTTTAGAAGATTCACAGAGGTTATTATTAGTAATTTATAAAAGCATATATTTATTTCAGTTAAGAGATTCGACGAATAGTGACATCTTTTCAAATTGAATCATATATATTATTACGAATTTTTGCGATAATATTATTTCGACCATGTCAACATATGATAAAAATTGAACGATCTATTCTATGAATAAGAACTTTGATAGACCATATACATATAGGAATATCGAAAGAGATTCAGTAAAATATGCAAATAAGCAAAGCTAAATATCATAACTTTAGCTTCAGAATTAAGTCATTGTCGTCGAATAATTCCATAACTGGAAATGAATCTGAATTAAATACAATCGCCTCCATATATAAAATTCAATTATGATCATTTAATTTATTCTTAAGTCAATTGGTACACATCTCAGTAGGTAACCAACTATAGGTAAGGGTCTGATCCCATACTTACATCCGAACCTTTGCCCAGACAACAGATTTTATTGATTTGATAACAAATTGAGTTGTTAATCAATCTATTTGATAATGAACTAATTGATTGTAACAAAATTTTATATATTGATCCGATTATATTTTATTCAAAGTTAGTGTTGATTATGAATTCATTCGGTGAAAATGAAAATTATCTTAATTTGAAGTGTGGATCATGAGAAAATTAACAATCTATGCCCCAAGTTTTCTTTTACTCTTATGTTCTTGTAATGCTTACTTTTAACTTTTCATTTAGTTGTTTTATTTATTTTCTTTATGATTAATGATGTTAAGAGCTAACAAAAACAAAAAATGTTTCAATAAAAATGATTAAAACTGTGTCAATTATTCTCTTATATTTAATTATAAGATTGATCCATATCTCTATGATCTATTCGCCAACTTATTGTTGTATCATCTGTATAACCATTCGTTCCTCCACCTTTTCGATTTATTTTTCTTGTAAATAGTAATTGTTGAACACGACTTTCAATAGTAGCTAAATAAAAAATAATATTTCGATCATTAATTAATTCATCAGATGATAAAATCATATTTCGATCACAATTAAGTTCAAGAAATAAATTATAAATTAATTGATAAGCAGTATTTAATATTTCACGCAGATTTTTTTTAGCTATTTTAAGTGATTGAACATTCATATTAGCTTTATTAACAGAATACTGAAAATGAAAAATTTTCTTTTAAGTATAAAACAAAACGAAAAAAAGAATTTCTTTTTAACTAACTTCAAGTGTTGCGAATACATCTTTGATAACAAATGAATCGATATTATCATTTGAAAAAATATTTGAAATATATTTTCGTTTATTATCAAGATCTTGATGAAGACGATCAAGCTATTTGGAAACATAAAGATTTATTATTTTTTTTGTTTTTCGTATTAAAATTTGAATTACCTCGTTGATTAATTCTACAGCATATTCAAAAAGTGTAAATACTTGTTCTTGTTCATCAAGAAATGTTTCAACAGTTCGATTAAGTACTTTTTCTTTAAAAAAATCTTGATTAAAACCAATACGAAATAAACGACGAAATTCATCAGCTGTATATGCACTTTTCACTCCTTTCGAACCTATTTAATGATCATAGTTTTCTAGAATAAAACAAAAGTTAAGTTATGATTATTACGTTTGCCAGCAAAAAGCTCATTCAATCGAATTTGTTCTTGTCGTATGTTGGATTTTTTTATAATAAAATTTTTCGATGCATAATTACTTTCTGATAATCGATCAAGTTCACGAATATCATCTAATAGTTTCTTTTCATCACGTTCATGCTGATCACGTATAGCTCGCATACGTGCAACCATATTTCGTCTAAATATTTATACATATATAAAGACTCTGATTAATTTTTCACTGTTATTTTTTTTTATTAATAAAGAATTTTCTATTCGGTAAAGTTGATTTCGAATGAACAGTCATTGTTCAAGTATATTTATTCTACTTTGCTGTCAAATAATATGAATATCTTCTTAAATAATAATTCATCTAAAAGCAATACAACGTGATATCAAATAAATTCACGTAGAATTATGTCAAATTTAAATCGAAAACTTTCATGCTAGATTATTAAAAGATTATTATTGGATCAGTTGTTAATGATTTACAATTGTTAAGATCCATAGTCAAATATAAAGCTAGCTAGTATATCGTTTTTCTACAGTAAACTTGTAATGGTTACTGTCATTCTTCGATTCTGTTTTACTCTTGTTTCAATATTGCAGATGTCTTAATCAAGTTAACTGAATAGTTCAGCCTTAAACTTTTAATTAACAATTCGTTTGTTCATTACTGTGTGGCTTCAGTTGACTAACTGTGAGTAGATAAAACCAGAGAATGATATTGAATTTCTAGAGATTTATGTAATAGGATTGTAAAGTAATGTGTCTCAAAATAGATCGAGTAAAATAATCTCCCTGTAATTAGGAATAGAAATTATATCATGCTTTAGGTTTTAATTTCACACGAATTGCACTAACAAGGTTATTTTCTTAGTATCATACTATTCATTTGACAAGCAAAATAAAGCCACTACTCGATGGGTAGCACATCTTAAATTATTTAGCTGATAAGAGCTGAATAGAGTGCACCAAAAATAGTACAAACGTTGAGGGTGATACAACAAAATCTGTCTATATTATTAAACGGAAAATAAGAAAGGAATTTATGAGTTGTCTTTTGCAATCTTACAAAAATTTTCGTACCGATTTGCAAAACTTTCTGAACATTCAGACGTCAATTGACGCGATTCATCAGTTGCATTTTGCATCGCAATACGAAGTCGATTATATTCTTCAATCATTTCACGACGTTTATCTAACATGCGTTTAATATCAGTACGTAATTCAGCATTATTTGCACAAATTTTGCTTAATTCAAGGTTCATCTAAAGATTACGATTATTTATAGATGATTGAAAATAGATTACAAACACGATGTAATTGATTTTCTGCTTGTATTAATTTTGTTTTATTATTATTTTGTACAATATCATATTGATTACTATATGTTTCTGTATTTTGTTGTGAATCTTTTTCGAATTGTTTTATCTGAGATAATTAACAAAATTTTTTTTTTCATTAAACTTGTTTTCATATCCCAATATCACCTTATTACAAAGAGAACGAATATTTTTTTCAAGATTTATATTATCTTCTTCAATCTTTTTTACATTATTCCATAATTTTTTATATTCTTTTGATGGTTTTTCATGAGTAATCAAATTCTTACGTATAAGTAATTCTTTTTTTGAACGTTTTTCTATATTGAGTAGTTTTCTTAAATTCATCGAAATTATTGTTTTGTTTTAAATAAAAGAAAACTCTATTTTACTCTTGTATACGAATTGAATTATGTGTACGATGTAAAAATCGTTTTATACGCATTTCTAAACCTCGATGAAGACTTTTCAGTTTGGTTTCTTCAATCGTAAGAGCAGCTATTTGATTTGAAAATTCCATTAATTTCATCCGATCACTATTCTAAAAATATTAAGTTATTTTCATTTATTTTATTTTTTTAAGTGTATTTATTGTACTTCTGATCTACGACAAGTATTACATTCATTGAGATTAACATTGGTATTAATCGGAATAAATTCTTATTAATAAAAAGAAAAAATTCATACGAAAAAAGTTATACTTGAATTTAGTGACATAGCCAGGGATGGGAATAAGGAAGGACGTTGCCCTACCACCAGAAGAAAGGCAAACGTAATAATTACCATCACTGATATCATATTGTATGGATTAGCCTCCAAGATCGTAGAGCACTGTCCTACCACCCACGATCTTCTGGTTATGTCACTATTTGAATTTCAATCTACCTTCGACATTGTTCGAGTCTTGATTTATTATCATAGGCATTAGAAAAAGAATTTTTTAATAACGAAACATTAAATTTTTTTTTTTTGTTAAATTATATTTCCCGCGTAAGATTATATAATAACACACAAAAAAAAAAGGAATATTCTTTATTTTACAAACGAATATTATATTAAAGTACAAAAGATAAGAAAAAAGAAATATTTTTATGTTGACCGATGATAACGTTCTAATTAGATTAAGTTGCATAAATAAAAGTTATATTTTGTTTTTAGTGGAAAAACTTACTTGGAGAAAGCCGAGTGCATTTATATTTTGGTGCTTGTTCTTCAACATCTACTAAAAAAACAGAATCAAAAATTATTATTCTTCTTCGAAATTAATCTTTGAAGTATATACTTTTTGTTTTTTTAATTTTTTGTTTTCGTTTTTTTTCTTCATTATTAATTGTTGATAGTTTAGATTTTTTACTTTTAGTATGACTTGTTATTAGTTCGTGTTCATTATCTGTAATTTCTTTTTCTTTGGATTTTTTAGTTTTTCTTTTATTATTTTCATTGTTATTTAATATTTCTTCTTCATGATCGTGTCTTTGTGTTTTTCGTTGATAATCATTTGATAAATTATCATTATTATTATCATCGTCGGATGTTTCATATGAATGATAATCTATTTTTGACTTTTTATATTTTTTAGTTTTTCTTTTATTATTTTGATTATCATTTAACATTTCCTCTTCATAATTATGTTTTTTTGATTTATTTCGTCTTTTTGTTCTTCGTTTATTATTAATTGTTAAATTATCATTATTGTCATTATCATCGGATGTTTCATGTGAATCATAATCTATTTTTGATTTTTTAAATTTTCTAGTTTTTCTTTTATTATATTCATTATCATTTAATATTTCTGCTTCATAATCGTGTCTTTTTGATTTACTTCTTCTTTGAGTTTTTCGTTTATTATTAGTTGATAAATTATCATTATTATTATTATTATTATCGTCATTATTGATGGTGTCATGTGAATGATAATCCATCGTGGATTTTTTATGTTTTTTTATTTTTCTTTTGTTGGTAATAATTTGAATAAAATTTGATTGTGCAGTTGCATTTTCATCATCAGATGTTTCTGCTAGACGATCAACTGATTTTGATTGTTTACGTTTTCGAGTCTTTCGTTTTTTTTCAATTGGTTTTTCTAGTAAAGCTCTTGCTGCTGCTGCTGCTGCTGCTTCTCCTTCAGCAATAACTTTTGCAGCACTTCGAGTCTTTCTTGCGCTAACAATCACCGGTTTGGATTTAATTTTAGTTGTTGTACGTTTTCGAGGTTTTACTAGTACTGTTTCTTGAACAGTAATCGATTCTCTAGAGTTGACGAACCAGTTCAATAGTTCAAGGATTAGAAAAGTGATAACTTACTGTTGAATTTGAGGATTTAACTTAGAAGCAAGATTATCATTTGTTGTCTCTGAATGAAAGCAAATAGTAATTTATAAGTAATCAGTTAGAATTTATACTGCTATGTTGAATGAGCTGATTATGAGAGTATAAAAGTTTCTTTTTGATAGGTTAGATTAATCTATCTGAGTTACTCAACAATTACAATGAAACTTTTGATAAATCTATGCAACTAATTTTGATGTCTTTATTACTAAATTATAGATATTGTATAATCAAAGTTTTTTTTTTTAATACTTTTTATTTTCTTATGATCATTAGGAAATTATAGTAAGTAAAAACTATTCAAGTAGAATTTGTCATGCTATCATAATCAGCTCTTCAAGATTTATAAACAACTATATATTCCAATGAAAATAGAGAAACCATACTACAATAACTTACGAGATATATGTTCTGATGATATTACAGATGGATTAATGTCAGCAATAATTAATACATCATCATCTGAAATAGTTGGTCGTTTATATCTATTGTGATCATCACTAATTTGTTCTGTTTTAATGATATCAAGCAAAAATGTTTGACCAAAATGATGAGTATTTTCTATGACTTTTTTAATATCTATATAAAAAGAAACATAATATTGAAAATTCAAGGATAAACTTCATTTATTCTACTCGTTTGATTTTGGTCAATTGAAGAAAAAATTGTATTTATTGTTGTTTTATTTTTCTTATGAGTAAGTGATGATGATTGTTCATTAACATCATCTTCATGTGAAACAGTTGCATCATAAAGAATTGTTGGAGTAAAACAAAGTCGTGGTGGTATATTTGGTTGAGAATCTATCAATAATGTGTCAGGTTGTGTTACAGCTAAATATGAATGATACTGTTGATTAGGAGCTCGATAACTTCCATTCGGTTCATCATAATATTCGTCGTGCTGTATTTCACCACCAATCATAGTTTCTTCAGGTTTAATAACAAATGTTGTGTCTACAAATTCTAAAGGTTGACGAACTGTACTAAGTGGTAATATATGAATACTAAATCGTCCATCTTTTCTTAATATGGAAGTTTCTTGATCACTAGGAATTTGAACTTTTATAGATGGAACTATTGTGAGACGTTTTGATTCTATTCGAGATCCTAAATATTTATTTTGATTATTATATAAAATCATTTTTTTTTTTAGAAAATTTGTCTTTTTTTTTGTTTCATTTACTTCGAATCATTTGTGTAAGTAATGGTGTTAATGTTTTACCATTCTGTGAAGAAGAAAAAACAAATTTTAAAATAAAAATGAATAGAAAAATGTAAGTTTAATTACCAATAATTTTGATACATGTTCTTCATCATCATCTTCTTCTTCAATTGTGTCAATGTTTGATGCTGGACTTTTTTGTACTACTCGAGGATAATTATTACGCGAACGAATATCACCAGGATTCAGTAAATTTCTTTTTTTTTTTTTGGAATATAAAAATTTTGAAAGTAAACAAAAGAAAAAAATCTAAATCTATATGCATACTGATTCAATACAGAATGAATTTCTTTCCAATGTTCAGATTCTTCATGGATGATTTGTTGTATCATATTACAATGTTCTTTAACAATGGCACGTAAATTTTCCATCCTCTGATAAGAAAAATAATTTGTTAGGTAGATAGAAAACTAGTATTATTACTTTATCAAAATAAGTTCGAAGTGATTGTGAAGCTAATTCAATCATATTATCAAGTACACGTAATTTATCATGATATTTTAATAAACGTTGATTGATATCATTTATATTTTCTTCAATTTCAATATTATGAGAAAATCCACTTCTCAATTGTTTTTCAAATTGTACTAAATTTTAGTACAAAAAAAAAGTTTATTTCTGAGTTATAAATTAATTCATCCATTTACCATTGATACTAATTTCAATAAGTTTACGAGCAGATCGACATTTATTACGTGTTGCTACAAATCGAGTTCGATTCCATGTCAATGGAAAATCGAACACAGTTCGATCAAGAACATTCATTACTTATTTAATAGAAAGAAAGAAAACACACACTATTTCCACAAAATAAAAATTATTTTTTTTGTTAAGATATTATAAGTCTTTCTGATTTTTTTATTACAAATACAATTATCGAAACCGTCGTTTCGATCACATTTATTTTATCCAATAAATTATCATAGATAACAGATGTCACAAATTGCATTTATCAAATAAGTATTCCATTCCACATATCTTAATCATAATCAATATTATGTGGTCATATAAACAAGATATATCAGTTTTATATAGTAATATGTGCTTATTCTTTTTATTTTTTTTATTTTCGTTGGAGAAATCATAAGACAATCATTATATTTAAAAATAAGATCGCGACAGTGGAACGTTAGAGTGGTATGTAATACTAAGAAAAAATTTCAAAATTGTATACATGAAAGAGTAAAAGCATTCAGAGAAAAATCCAAAAGAGGAAGAAACAACTTTATTTGCTAGAATTTTTCACATTTCTAAAGTCGACGTGAATGATTTGACCGGTACAATTATAATAGATTCAATATGAGCTTGCCTGGAACAGTTTTTTAAATAGAATAATGCAAACAAAAGAATAAGATTAGTTTTGAAAACATCTTTAAGCATATATTTACATGTTTTAAAATCATTAGGTAGTCGAAATTCTTTCTCATACCAATAAGTTTATCTCTCGTTGTTTTTCTCGTTCTTATAGAATTCCTTGTTTCTTCTCATGTATGTTTTTGTGTGTAAAAAACAATTTTATTATTGTTGTACTGATGCGATTCATTCGTTTGAATCATCATGTTTATTCCTTTACCAAGGTTACTCAAATATACATTTTCTCTTGATTTTGATGGCAAATTTCTTGTTTTATTTGAACGACTATATAAAATTGACATTCAAAATATTGACGAATACCTTCTTCTTTTATCAATGTTTCAATCGAAGGAATATTTATTCTTAGTTAATATCAGAAAATGTAGGAAGAATACCATATTTGTTAAATATTGCGATGTTAATACGTGACATTGTTGTCCACACAAAGATGTTTTGTCAAATATGTCTTATTTTTCTTGCTTGCATACTTGAATAAAAACCAACGAATGATGAAAACTATGCTTTTTGCGGTTCGTAAAGAAAATGACATACTATATAAAAAATGATAAGTGAATATTCAAGGCAATGTGAATATCATTGCACATGATTATAAGCAAAGATTATCATGAAACACTCGACATTTGTTTATTATTCACAAGAAAGAGAGTAATTCATTCATAATTCAAACGAAAAAAACAAAATAGATGTTCGTCATAGTGATTGCATGAGTACAAAAAATTTTTTACTTTATTATGATTATAAATTTCTCTTCTATAACTTTGTAACATTGATAAAATTTTTATAGAATATAACCTAACATTTTATAAATACAGAAATATTATTCGGAATATTTTAAGAATTGAATTCTTCATTTGATTTAAAATAACTTGGTATAGAGTTTTGAAGACAAGATGAAAGGTGTTAAACTGTAACTGAAGAAATTTAAATAGTTCGACTTTTTTTTTTGAAGCGCAAAATATTTCTGATTTTTGTTTTGGTTTTAGTTTGCATTCTAATGTGGGTCTTAATATATACTTAACAGTTAGGCATCAAATATCTCAACTGTAATTTTTATGAAATTTTGAAAGTGGAAATTAATTAAATGAGAAATATGATACAGTTTTCATATTGCGTTAGTATAATATTTCATTGTCAAATAGATGATATGTCTAATTAAAAAAAAAAAAGAAATTCGGTCATTCATATGACTTAAATGAAATGAAATTATAGTATGAATTGGATCGAATTTTTAGCTTTATTCATTTCCTTTAATTTTTCTTCTAGTCATTTGGAATACGCCTCATAATTTAATCTGTCGTTTTCATCGATAAAATAATTATTTTATAATATAACTATATCGCTTATGGTAGACATCTTTTTTTTATAGCCTACTAACGACACATGTTTAACCAATAGAAAATTTTTTCTATCCTGTAATAGCATTGCTATGGTGGTCCATAATAATTTCAACTTGCTTAGTAACTTTTTTTTTTACATGTTTTCTCCTTTTCTATTTTCTTGAGCGAACGCATCATTCAGTCAGTACGTTCGAGTAGGCTGCTTGTCATTATGCTGTGCTGAATAAGTATGCCTATTTTTTTCCCTTCTGTTGACTTATTCGTTTTTATTTCGTCTTGTGCATTTTAAAAGCTTTAAAAAAATACGATTTTTTTTCAATGTCTGATACTATAACTATTAATTTTTCTTCTCCATCAATAATAACTCCTATTCAATCAGTATCTTTAAATTCATCGTCATCATCTGATATAAATGGCTATCAAATAAAAGCTGAAACTGACTCCGATTTATCATTTGTTTCAAAGAAAAAACTAATTCAATTTCAACCAACCAATCATGACATATTTCATTCATCAAATTTTAATGGACCATCATTTAAACAAATTATTCTTGTTTTCATTATGTTTGTCGTAGTTACATCATTATGTTCATATTTATATAAAGATTCATTAATTAATATTTTACTTATACTTGAAACATTACCATGGTGGTGGACGTTCTTATTTTTTTGTGTTTTATTCACGCTTGTTAGTTTACCATTTGCTTGGGGTAAGTAGAAATTTAAAAAAAAAACACAAAAATTAAATTGAATTGACACTCTTTTCTAGGTTATATATTATTAAATATAGCTTGTGGATTTCTATATGGACTTGTCTATGGTATGATATTCATAATAGTTTATGTAAGCATTGGTTTATCATTATCATTTTATATTTGTAATTATATTTTAACACATAATTTTCGTATTATTAAAAATTTAAAAACAACATTTGAAAGTAGTGAAATTATTCAAACATTAATTAAAGTTCTTAATAGTGTAGATGGTTATAAAATAATTTTTCTTAGTCGACTTACACCAGTAAGAGATATTTTTTTTTTAATATTTTAATCTTTTAGAAATATTCTATTTCGATAGATTCCTCTTGGTTTACAAAATGGATTTTATTCAATAAGTAATATTTCTTTTCGCATTTATCTTTTTTGGTCATTATGTGGTTTAATACCTACTCAATTTATTTATTGTTTTCTTGGCTCACGTCTTCATTCAATGACAGATTTAATGTTAATTGATAAACGAACGAAAACTGTTGGCATTATTGTCGGTCTTTGTGAGTGTTTGATGACACTTGTTTTAACTTATTATGTATTTCATACAGCAAAAAAAGTACTTAATAAGTTATTACTTGAAACATCAGCATCAAGTGAATGTCTGATTGCTGTTAAACAATAAATAGAACTTTGTTTTGTTTTATTTTCATATTATAATAAATCATTTTGCATTTCGTATTATTTGAGACAATATACAATCAATGAAAATATGGGTATAACCGTTATTATACTTTTATATATCACAATTCTGTCAATGAGTTGAATCTTTACATGTGATGGTAGAATTAAATGTTTATAAAGAGCAAGAAATTTTTTATATACACTTTAAAAAATGTAAAGAAGAATTTTCTTTTTTTCAATATCATTGATGTTAGAATAATGAAAGTGTCACATTAGAGAAAATTATGTATGGCGAGGGTAACATTAATTAATTCCATAATCTGAATTACAAACAAAAAAATAAAATGATATTTGCCGATGGCATTGTATTATTAAATAGAACAAAAAGGGCTGTAAATTAATTGCTATGATTTGCAAGTTTTCTTATTACAGCTAATAACTTGATTGATATATCAATGATCGTAATATATAAAAAATAGTGTTCAATTCTTGTTTCAGATGAGTCTTTGGTGTGATAAGTATCGTCCAAAAACTTTTGATGAACTTGATTATCAATTAGAGCAAGCAGCATTATTACAAGCTATTGTAAACGAGTCTTTCTTGTAAATATCTTCATATTATATTCATCGATAATTTAGGTGGCTAGTGGTGATTTTCCTCATTTTCTAATTTTTGGTCCTAACGGATCAGGTAAAAAAACTCGAATACAATGTTTACTTCATGCTTTATATGGTGATGGTGTACAATCTTTACGTATTGAAAATCATGAATATGAAACACCATCACGAAAAAAAATCGAAATAACTACAATTGGCAGTAATTTTCATATACAAGTTAATCCAAGGTCCATATCCAAATTTCATCATTGTCATTGAATAAAAGCAAATCAAACACTTTTTCCTTTAGTGATGTTGGCATCTATGATCGTATCGTTATTCAAGAGTTAATTAAAACAATTGCACAAACCAAACAGATAAATATTAACGAACAACGAACATTTAAAGGTGCGCTAATATTGATATACTTAATATAAATATTGATTCATGAGTTCATATTTATTTTACAGTTATTGTTATTGTCGAAGTTGATAAATTAACACGAGATGCTCAACATGGTCTTCGTCGTACAATGGAAAAATATGTTAGTTCATGTCGACTTATACTGTGTTGTAATTCAACATCACGTGTGATACCTGCTATTCGAAGTCGATGTTTAGCTATAAGAGTTGCTGCACCAACGATTAACGAAGTTTGTTGATTTATTTATTTATTTATGTATTTATGCATCATTTGGAAATTTTCATATTTAGATCAGTAAAGTTTTAAAAAAAGTAGCACATTTGGAAGGAATTCAATTACTAAATGATGTAGCAAATCGTATTGGAGAAAAAAGTCAAAGAAATCTTCGAAGAGCTTTACTTATGCTTCAAACATGTGCTACACAAAAGTAAAGATTTTGATTCAAAATATGCCAAAACTAAATGTTTTTCTATTAGAATTCCATTAACAAAAGACCAGCAAATCATTGAACCAGATTGGGAAATATATTTACGTGACACAGCACGCATGATTGGTGAACAGCAAACGCCTCAACGGTAAATATTCTTTTTCTTCGTCATAATTGAAAATCTACGTTTTCTTTTTGTAGGATTTTAGAAGCACGTGAACGTCTTTATGAATTAATTGCACATTGTATTCCAGCAGAAATTATTTTTAAAGTATAAAATTTTCTTTCTTAGAAATTTGTATCAAGATTAAAATTTATACTTAGGGTTTACTTGAAGAATTATTGGCAAATTGTGATGATATATTAAAAATTCAAATAACACACATAGCTGCTGAATATGAACATCGTCTTCGACAAGGTTCAAAAGAAATCTTTCATCTTGAAGCATTTATAGCAAAATTTATGTGTATTTATAAGCAACATATGCAAAAAATGGCTGCTGGTCTTGATGAAGATTTTGATTAATTAAATATGTATATTGACAATTATAATGAAATTTCTTGTTTTATATATGTCAGATTGATGAATAAAAATTCAAATGTGTATGTGTGCAATGAAAGAAATATTTCATAGCTTTCATTTATAGTCTGAGCGTGTAGGAATATTAAATGTATGCAGAGTACATCATACAATTTTATGAATTCGATATTCATCTTATCATTGTCAATACATTTCAAGTACATTGTTTCTTTATCATGTAAACGGATATGTTATTATCCTATTTCAGTCCTTTAGTGATTTGCAGTATGATTAATTGATTGATTTATGAAATTGAGTTTTCAGAGATTTGATAATAGTTAATCGTATTTGATCTGCTACTTTAGCTTCGTACTCTGACTGAACGAATGACGAAGATTTTGGTGTCTCTCTTGATAGAGAATTCTTTAGCTATTAATAATACACTACCGCAGACAAAATTAACGCAACACGTATTTTTGATAGATATTTTCATTAACGGTCGACCACGAAAAATATAAGTTTTTTAGAAATTTTTTCGTCGATAGAACTTTGTAGAGCTCGTTTCGTTGATCATTTTGGTAAAAAAAATATTCAAATTTACTCAATAATTAATGGCATTAGAGTCAAAATACTCAAAACTTAGGATTGTTCGTGACCACTGCTGAGTAGTAGGTGATATTTTTGAGTATTCTGAGCCAAGGTTCGTTATTTATCGAGTAAATTTGAATATTTCTTTTTATCAAAATGATCAGCGAAATGAGCTCTACAAAGTTCTATAGACGAAAAAAAATTTCTAAAAAACTTGTATTTTTCGTGGTCGACCGTTAATGAAAATATCTATCAAAAATACGTGTTGCGTTAATTTTGTCCGTGGTAGACACATATAAATTTCAACTGTTTGACATTGATTCTATCATCGACAGTTTCCATTTCAGATATTTGGTATCTTTGTATGTATTTGTAATTTTACTGGCATTTTTAGTTCATATTTTATGTTTAACTGATAATCGACATATTGTTGCTATGACTAATAGTTTGACAAAATAAAGACGAGAATATTTTGATATTCTTATATTTTAAGTGGTAGATATGGTGAAAGCTTCTATACTTATTGTTGTTCTTATCAAATATTGAAGTACTTCATGAAGATAGAATCATCATCAAAATATATGTCGAAAAGCAAAAATATTAAAGTGTAAAATTGTCGAAATATATGTTCTTATGATAGTTCTGATATTTAAAATTACAAGCGCCGAGAATAGAAACACTAACAGTCGATTATTCAAATCACAATGACACTATCAGTCAATTGGTAAGGCATAGTTAGGGTGTGAGTGTAGGCGTGGATGCATGTGTTCTATTCATTCTCATCTATTCACACTCACACCCACATTCACTTTTCTTGTCATAAAAAAAATTTTTAACTATGAATACAAGTTCTGTAAATGAAATAAAGATATTGAATTCTTTATTATCAACTAAATAATAATTTATATTATTTCGACGTTTGAATAAGTCGGCACTTTCATCTATCAACATCTTGTTTTTACGACATTTCTGTATACGACATTTTTTACTTTTTGACATTTTAATTATTCGACATTTTTCTTGTATGGTTTTTAACAGTTGTGTTTGCAACGAAAGTAGAATTTACCATGTCGGTTTCATCATACATCGATTAGTATTGAAGGAGATTATAATCTTTTATCAATTTTTACTTTCACTGAGAAGTTCTTCGTTTTTGTTTTGAAAATTTATATAATGTATATAACAGATATTTTACGAAAATTCAATAGCAAGTTTTTCGGTTTGCCCATTGATACTGATAATCAAAATAATGTTAATACTATTATCGTAATTTTAAAAAAAGACCATTGGGAAAAATGCTTATAACTTTTGAACGAAGATAGCTAGAGCCCTGTGGTTTTCACCATTCGAAAGAGGAGACAAGGGAACGCCTTTTTCTCCAATATTGTATACGACGAAATCATTTAAAAATCAGTCATTTTTACAAAACATCGAAAAATGTATGAAAACGATCTGTCATTCGGATGAAATTTTGGTTCTGACATCTGATCTAGATAGAGGAACTTCAGATGTATAGTTCAAGATATAATTCGAATGATTATCTTTCCATCTCCTAATGTTGAACAAATAAACTTGTCTATTCAATCGTACGAAAACTATGGAATTCTTTTAATTTTTAAGCATATTTTCTTACTTTCCATCAAATTTTCAACTGAATGGCAGACCGTTTTTTTATACATTTTTTCGATGTTTTGTAGAAATGACTGATTTTTAAATGATTCCGTCGCATGCAATATTGAAGAAAAAGGCGTTCCCTTGTCTCCTCTTTTGAATGGTAAAAATCACAGGGCTCTAGCTATCTTCGTTCAAAAGTTATAAGCATTTTTCCAGATGGTCTTTTTTTTAAATTCCGATAATAATTCTAATATTGTTCTAACAGATACTTTTTTTCAATGTAAGAATTTGATACATCAAACAATAATCTTATTATATTTTCTTCTGCTTTCATTGATGTGTCTATTCAAGCTAATATTTTCATCTCACCAATGATTACTTCATTACATACGGAAAATTTGTTTCGTAAGGAAACCTATTTAGTTACATTTTTTATATGTACTCATGACCTTTATGTTGATTACAAGAACATCGGATGTGTATTAATGCGTCGTCATATTTTCGAACCTATGGACAAATTATTTGCAGAAAGAATATTAGATGATTTAATATTTCGAATGCCTCGTATTCTTATTTAATTTTGTGACGGATTTTAAATAGTGTTGAATTTGAAAATATACATCAAGGAGTTATTTGTCAAAATATGCAATCCTGCAATGAATCTTGAATATCAACAAGTAATAAGGGTATTAATTGATTCAAATATTCATGATACATCTGATGAGATTACTGTAGTTGAACAATCATTCATAGAACATACGAAAATACCTCTTACGGAATAAAGACAAAAATTTTCAAATGAAATCATTTTTGAAAAAATGGTTTGACTGATTGCTCATATTTTGGCCATGAATAGTTTTTTCATTTTAATCAAAAAAAAACATGAATCTGTTGCTGTTGAACTTTGCAATAAGATGATAAAAATAGTATGTTTTTGACACGTGCATGATTTATTGTATTTTTTATTTATAGATGCATCGAGCTAGTCAAAAAAACACCACTAATTGTAATTTATTAGAAACATTTACATGTTGTGTCATGATGAGACAATGATCATGTCTTTTTTTTTCTTTACGTAATTCAAAAGTGCAGAGGGAACAGATAAATTCGTCGATTCATTGAAGAACAATGCATAGAACTCGATCGAATATGAATAAAAATTCTTATTGTATAGTTCATTGGATTTTTCTTCCGATAAATAAATACTAAATGATACGAAATAATTTCATTGATTTTGAATATGAATGAGTGAACGATTTTATTTTGCAAATTAGACAGCATAAGAAATAAAGCATTGTTCAGCGTAATCGAAAAAAGTTCTTGAATTCAATTACTCAGAGAAGATGACACTCAATTTGAGTTCAAATCAAATTAAGTACTCCCATTAATATATTATTTTTTGCTGTATACATGACCATTTTGGACTGCTAAAAGTAGATTTTATTTGAATAGATTTTTGAAAAGGTGTACATGAATGATTAAGAAGTAGAAAATTTCGTCAGAAAAATATTCTTTTCTCAATTAACTTTCTAATGATAGAAGAAATTTATAAATGTTCTTCGTTGTGAATAGAAACAAAGTGGAATCAAGGCTGAATCAATGTCACTACCGCTGAGCAAATCATTTATTCAACAATGATACGCTATAAACGTTAATTCAGTGCATATTTTTTATCAATAATTTTATATGATAATTTAAATATTTATTTAAAAAAAAACATCAAATGAATGACATAAAACAGCCTCACGCCATTATTTTTCTAAAGGCTATGAGAAAATCGAACATCTGTACAGGATAAAATTGTACTTCTGTATATAAAAACAAAATCATAGACAAGTTTTCTGCATTTCTCTTTTATCTTTTATAAGTAGATATCGAAAGATATTTAGAGAAGTTAATTAAAAAAAAAAATGTTACTCTCCTATTTAAGTGTCCTCTTAACTTGTGGTAAGATTATTCTTCAAGTGTTCTTTGTTTTAGTACGGAATTTTTTTGAGTAGGTATTGCCTTAGGACAATATGTACGAGAACATACTCCAGCTGAACGAATGAGAATTTTGGTAAAGATATCAAATATTTGTTTCTTGTAATTTTTGATTCTAACCATTAGGGTCCCTTGGCTTTTGCTGATGCTCGTGTGATATTTAACTGTCCAGCATTAACTCCATCACCAACAGTTCCAACATCAGGTTTCTATATTTGTTTTTTCATTAATTAATATATGCTTTTTGTTCTTATATATTTTAAGTTCATGCTTTACGACCAGCTGATATCAAACATATAGCATCGATGGGCGATAGTTTAACAGTATAAAAATATATAGAATATTTCAATTCTTTTATTGATATTCTAGGCTGCAAATGGTGCTAAAGCATTCTCAGTAGTTGCTGTTATAGTCGAATATCGAGGTGTTTCATGGAGGTAAAGAAAATATTCTTATTATTTCTCTAGTTCTTATTTTATATTTTAGTATTGGTGGAGATGAAAATCTTCAAAAAGTTGTCACCTTAGCCAGTATGTTTATTTGATATTATTGCATTAATAAAACAAATCTTTTTTTCATTTGATTTTTAGATATTTTACGACAATTCAATAGTAAATTAGATGGTTATTCACTTGGAACTGGTAATCGAAATTCTTCAAAAGCTGGTTTTAATGTTGCCAAAGCTGGTGCTATTTCTTCGTAAATGAAATCTATTGTTCTCAAAAAATAAAAATTTACCTATATTTATAATATGTTATTTTTTGTAGTGATATGCCTAGTCAAGCAAATCTTCTTGTTGAACGAATGACTCAAGCATTAGGTGCTGCAAAATTTGCTGCAGATTGGAAATTGGTTACATTCTTTATTGGTGGTAATGATCTTTGTAGTTATTGCAAAGCTACCGTATGTTGTTTTTTTTTTACTTTCTATATATCTATGAAATTAATCATTTTTTTTTACTTCATTAGGATCGATTCAGTCCAGCTAATTATGCAAATAATATTAAACGTGCATTAGATATTCTTAAAGCTCGAATGCCTCGTACACTAGTTAATTTTGTAACTGTTCTTAATGTTGCTGAACTTAAAGATTTACATGAAGGTGTTCGATGTCAAACATTACAAAAGTAAGATAAAATAGAAGAACATGTGTTCGAGTAGTTTTTGAATATAATAGTTTCATGTGTGATTGTGGTGTTGATAAGAAAACACGTGACCAAATACGTGTGGCGAATATTGATTATCAACGAGAAACAACTGCATTAATTGATTCGGGTATTTATGATACATCTGATGATTTTACTGTTGTTCGACAACCATTTATGGAACATATGAAAGTACCTGTTACGGTATATTTAAAAAAAACGTTTTCAAAGGGAAACATTTTTTTGAATAAACTTTATTTTTATTATAGAGCGGTGGTTCGGCTGATTTCTCATATTTTTCACCTGATTGTTTCCATTTCAGTCAAAAAGGTCATGAAGCTGCTGCTGTTGAACTTTGGAATAATATGGTTAGAATACTCTGTTAAAACCTTGTGAATGATATATTATATGTTTTATGTATAGATGCAAAAAGTTGGTCAAAAAACAACAACCTGGTATTTAGCAGATACACTTCAATGTCCTTCCACAGTAAAATGACGATCAGTTTTTCGATTTTTGATTAATAATAACTACTTTTATTATTTTTTAAGGGAAATGGATACATCTATACGTCGAAGAACAGTGCTTGATTTTAAAAATAATCTTTCATTGATCATTTGATTTTTGTTTTCTCTATCAATAAATAAATGTGAACGATCGGGCAATATGTTGACCCTTTGAATATTTGCTTGATATTAATGATATAAATGGTCGAGGTCATCTGGTTTATTTGAATGAACAGAGAGAAAAAAGACATAGAATAGAGATGATGGTTTAAGAAAAATATATATAGATTGACTCATTCATTCACTCATTCATTCATTCGAAAAGAGCCTATTGAGCAAAATGCGATATTATCTTATTTTTATCGTGTTTAGCACTTGGTATGTATCCATTAATGCACAATCAGAAGATAATTCAACAACAAACAGTCTTGTTCAAAATGTTACTGAAGAAGAAACAACCGTTGCTTCAACTACTGAATATACAAACACCGATAAAATTACCGAGCATGCAACCTCAGACCAAACTACTGAACAAATGAACTTCGACTCTACTACGAAACATACAACGTTCGACCAAACTACTCAACAAGAAAGCTTCGAACAAACTACTCAGTATACAACCTTAGAACAAACTACTGAACAAAAAAGCTTTGACCAAACTACGCAACAAATAAGTCTTGATCAAACTACCGTTATGTTGGATATAAATTCAACAACAAGTGTTTCAACTAAAGGTTTTGTAGCTTCATATGTTGAACCACCACTACATCCACTTGGCTATTGTATTCGTTCACGTTTACGCTGTTCTAAAATTCGTCGTTGTTGCAAAGGACCCTGCGGTGTTATTAAGATGAAGTGTCCCTAATTTAAAGATGCAATAATAAAGACAAATTTCATTTTTTTGTTTTCTTTTTTTTATTTGATAGCATTTCTTCATTAATATTCTTTACATGTAGTTTTCGTTTATCTAATAAATTTCAAATAGTCCGGCTCATTCTATCTCTGATAAAAGCTTTTAAGCAGTAAGATAAAGTGTAGAAATTAGCGGTAATTTATTCAGTCTGTGATTTTCTATCGTGCTCTTGCTTCACTATTTTTTTAATATTGTGATTATCTTTTAAATTAAGAAAAAAAAATACGACTTGGCAAAGTAAAAAGATCCTGACTTCATTCGTGATCAATTTTGCTTTATTTAAGCATAAACATAGAGTGTAATTTGTCTATTCGAAATCAACTGACTAAGGTTATAAAGATAATTAAAGGTACGTTGTACTCCTAAAAGAACTAACTGTATTACTAATTTGTAAATAAGATATCTGAAACATATCAATATTTTCATACAGTCAAAGTCAAAAATCTCGCGCCACTTCTTTTTTACTCGAACCTTATATTAAAACTGCACACTATCAACTCGAATATGATTATACGAATTATCACAGGGATTAAGTAATTGATATATATGTTAAATACAAAAAATGCTTGAGCATAAAATATAACGAGTGAATAGAAACTTTAGTGCTAACAAAAAAGATGACATGGCACGGCTGTCGTAAGTGTATATGGAATGACGATGTGTTAATTAAACTGAACAATATTTGCGTACACATGTTGTTTATGTATAATACCACCATGATTAAGATAGTGTTTAATTCTTTCTTGTTCCATTACATCTGCTAATCTATAACGTTATATATTGTGAAACACTTTTTTTAAGTCTTTGATATATCGTGAATAATTGCTTTGGTTATCACAAACATCATAGATTAAAAATGAAGCCCATTACAACTAGTTCATTGAAATCTCGATTTCTTTTTACGACTTTGACCAAAAAAAATATAAAAATAACATGCTTGCACCACTTTCTAGAGTATACTACTGATATTGATTCGATGGTTCATCATGCTTAGTCTGTATGATGAAAGTATTAAGACTTGCAACAACCATATCAAATTGTGTTTTTTTTCATGTTCTTTCTTCTGTTAATAACAAAAGTTTCTATTTATTCATCGTATTATATATTCAAGGATTTCTTGCATTAAATACGTATATATTTAGTACTTAATCACTGCTATACAGGTATAGAATCATATTGAGTTGATGATCTGTAATTTTCATACACGACTTGAAAAAGAAGTAGTACTGGATTAGTATAACATCGACCGTATTCTATGATGGTATTACTAATCTAAAAAACAGATATTTCAGTCATTTGAACGATATAAAAAATATAACTATATGTAAGTAAGACGATTCATAAAGACAAAATAAATAATAATACTATCTTTCAAAAATTAGGTTTCATACATGGTCAACAATGTTGAATTCATGGTTAACTATTTTCACTATAAAATTCTTTTAACAAGGCATAAATATACAAAAACAATTAAAGTCTGCCACATTTATCTACTTCATTCATGGGAAAAAAAATACATCTGGATTCACAAAAGAAAATATCGTCCGATTCACAATATAATCTTTTATCCTCAAAGTTAAAAAACAATCATATGTTCTGTATGTAATGCTTATTGGTTCAATAGTAATGTTTTGCTTATTATTTTTAAGAAAATATATTTGATATCAAACAAATACAGATGAATCTAGGCATTTTTCAACAACTAAGTATTCATATGAATAGGAGTCCAAGAAGAAAAAAAATATGCTTGAATCACTACTTGATATAAATTAAGTTCTACAAAATAATTTAAATTTGTCTTGTAGTACTAATTCAAAATTTATATTCTTTTCTTTTATGTCAATCTAAAGCCATTGAAGATTTTTTTCAAGATATTGAAAAAAAAAACTTGAAAATGCATTCTATAAACACAACCAGTTGTTTTCATTAGTTATGATTTATATGTTTATGTAAAATTAGTAATGTTAGTATAATAAATATTAATTTGCAGTTTAACATAAATCAGAAGCCTACATCATCAAAGTATTTCGACATTCCAATTCTTCTAGGAATGCGTTACAATAGCAACATTTTGTAGTCTTTTTTTTTTCGGAACAAATCAAACTTATTGGATCTTTGAAGACTAGCGCCATCTATGGTTAATATATTCTATTCCTGTATTTTGCTACCAGTATTGTATAAACAAAGAACAATATTGATTTATTTTATTGGTACACAAAATATTTTTTTTTGAAAGAATATGGCAACTCGAACATCAACTCGATCAACAAAAGCCGTTAAATTTGTCGATTCAGCTGAATCAGATGATGATGAAGATTTAGATAAACCTTCTTCACTTCCAATAACTACTGAAGGTAAAAAACCTCGAGGTCGACCACCGAAATCTCGTCGAAGTCAAACTATTGATGATGAAGAATGGGATGCAAGAAACGAACAAGTCGAAGATGATGAGGACGATGATGATGATAATAATAATCCAAATGAAAATGGACGAGATGTTACAAAAAAAATGCATGCTAATAGAACGATCGATTCAGTTTATGATTTTGGGTAGAGAAAAAAAAAACATATATCAATTCTTCTTTAGACAAAAAAGAAAGTTTGATTTTTTTTTTATTAAAGTGACACGCCAAGAAAATGGCCGAAAACAACACCACAAAGAAATAGTACTGTATCGAAAACAAGTGTTAGTGATAGTGGAAAATCTATGGAAAAGTTAATGTGTTCGTATTGGTAAGATAATTTCAACGAAACAAAAATCAGTTGTTTAATTAATAGAGATTATGTTTAGTAATTATACAACAACGAAAAAATATCTCCTTCAAAGGCATTTAAAATCTCATTCAACTGAACGACCACATAAATGTATAATTTTTGAAAAGAAATCAATAATGAAAGATTTTGTTTTTGTTCTTTTTTTAAAAGGTGCATATTGTGATCGATCATTTAAAACAACTATTCAATTAACTAATCATGTTAATACACATCTTGGTGTGAAACCATTTCAAGTAAAATTTTCTTTAAAAAAAAAAAAGCTTTTAATAAAATAAATGTTATGTTATGTTTTGTTTTTATTAGTGCAAATTTTGTTCGTTTTCATTTACAACAAGTGGAGAATTAATTCGCCATGTTCGATATAAGTAAGATTATCAATAAAAAAATGATTAAATTCTTTTGTTTAAAAGAAAAATTATTGTTTCTTTTGTCTTAGACATACACTTGAAAAACCACATCGATGTGATGAATGTGGTTATGCAACAGTTGAATTAAGTAAATTACGACGACATATTCGTACACATACTGGAGTATGATTAAAAATTTCTTATTATTTTATTCTATTTATTGCTTAATGTAGGAAAAACCTTATGCGTGTCCGCATTGCTCATATTGTAGTCCGGACACATTTAAACTTAAACGACATCTACGTGTACATACAGGTAAGAGAAAAAAATGATTAATTTTTTTAATTAATTGAAAATTGCTTTTTTTTCTTCAAGGTGAAAGACCATATCAATGTACGATTTGCAATTTTAGGTTTACTCAAAGCAATAGGTAAGTTTATCAGTAATTAGTCTAAATATTCGAGTTTAAATGGAAATTATTGATTACTAGTGATAATGGGTTCAGTGAATTTTATGAGATATATCAATAAAATTTTTTATAAAAGAAGAATGATTTTAATTCAGAAATAATTATTTTTATCGGTTCATTTATCTTTATTGATAATTATCATAGGTAAATTTTTCTTACGATTCTATAGATGATGAATCAGTCTTCTCGTAAGGATTTTATATATAGAAAAGAAGAAGGAAGAATACGACTACCTTGCGTAGTAAGATGCTGCCTAACGATAGATTCAATAACTCAATATCTGTCTTACAACTAAAAATAGTTGCAGTTCTGAACAGAAGACTAGACTGACAGAGAATTCTTACACTCAATCACTTGAATTCTCCATATACACTAATTAACTACATACTAGCTACAGGGCAAGTCTATGTTACAATATCATCAGCATGTTTTTGAATAGGTGATCCGAGGCAAACAGCCGTTAGTAACTTGCCAAAGACAATTTCATGGCTGGTAGCACCAAAATTTGAATACAATACTTTGAGGATACGTGTCGAACAATGTAGTCATTCAGCAATGGCGGCTCTTTATGTATATATATATACATATTTGAAACTTAACTTTTGTTGCAATGATTGTAAAAGTGAACTCTTCTGCGAGAACTCTTGAATCATGTTAATAAAATACAACAATGAGTATAGATGATTTCACTATATGACTCAAGATTTTTCATCATCTATAGAGCGTCAAAAATTTTGCAATTATATAAAATTATTTTTTATTAGTCAGAGAAAGAAAATAAAAACGAAATCAAACTTATCAGTATCATAGTTTAGCAGTTTCACCAAGAATGAGCGAAATGGACTGTTTTTGAAATTGTTATTGATTATCTCTACATCCAACTCAGAAGCATATCAATACAAGATTCTATTCACTTGTCTAATCGTTCCAAATATTTGGAGCAGTTATGCGATGAAAATCATGTTTGTCTCGCATTTGAAAATATTTCTTAACGCATTATATGTTTCTAAATTTGTACATGTCTTATTATTCAACATGATTATTAGTGAAATTTGACTCGAAAATCACATTTTCTATTCATTAATTATTGATTTTATTTAGTTTAAAAGCTCATATGTTAACACATCAAGCTGAAAAACCATCATTTCCTTGTTCATATTGTCCATCAGTTATGGCTCGAAAATCTGATCTTCGCTATCATGTTAGTAAACAACATTCCCGACAATCAGAACCATTATCATGTAATAAATGTGATGAAGATTTTCCTGATAAGTATGCTTTTTTCTTCTTTTTTAATTTATTTTTCTTCAATCTAAACAAGAAAAATATTTTCAAATTTAAGATATACATTACGTATGCAT